AAGTGTTGATAAGGATAGAGAGGAATTGGAACAGGCCTGGAAGGAGTGTAAAACATCCGGCGACCTTGGAAAACTGGCAAGTTCGCAAAAGGTGAGACATGGAATTGGCACAGACCCCGGTGAACCACCTCCTAGAGAAGCACTCCAGAGGCATGAAATGATGGGCACACAGATCAGCATGGCTGCCTTATCCATAGCAGCCAAGAAAGGGAAACCACCCAAATGTCCATCAACGGACTGATGAACCGATCCACAAAATGTGGGCTAGCCACACAGTGAAGCCCTGGTGCAGCCCACTGCACAGATGATACCTGGAAACCTTGCAAACAAAACCGGGCACAAAGGCCTATACACAGAATGAGTAAACTCCTAGCGATAAACCCACGTGTACACCCGCGATTGCAAGTAGGTAGGATTACAGGGTTTCTTTTGGGGGCGGTGCAATGTTCTAGAGCAGCGATTCTCAACCTGGGGCCGAAGGACCCTTTCACAGCGGTCACGCGATTCATCACAGTAGCAAAATTACAGTGATGAAGTAGCAACAAAAATAATTTTATGGTTGGAGGAGTCACCACAACATGAGAAACGATGAAAGGGTCGAGCGTTAGGGAGGTTGAGAACCACTGCTCTAGAGCCAAAGGAGGCGATGCACGGCTTTGCGAAGATGCAGGTATGTGTTGCTTAAGATCGACAATGTGGTCTGTGAAATAAGACACTGGGCAAGTCAGACTCCGTGTGAGCAGGTGCATACAGGTATATGACAGGGTGTTCTCTCAACATCCAAGACACATGCTATGTGAAGTCACATGGCCTGTGAGGAGCAGACCTCCCCAGTTAGGTTCTCTAGGATCCCACCCTTCCCAAGGGCCCTGAGTTCCCAGCTGGGAAGAGTGGGCGGGAGTGTTTGTTCCTGGCTTCCTGGCGCTGATCCCCCTCCCCACTTCGGTTCTTGTAGGGGCCCTCAGAGCTAGGGTGTGCAGCCCTATGGTCTGAAGGGGGTCCCACCCGGAGACCCTCACCTCCACTCAGTGAGGAGAGGGGTTCTAGGAGTGCACCACTCAGGAAGCCCCCTCCCCTGTCTCACTGTCATCATGGAGCCCACCGCCACAGGACCCGCTTCATCAACACCAACACCCGGTCCAAGGTGCCCTCTTCTCCCCCCACAGTCAGAACTGTAGAGATTTGGAAAGACAATTCCTGGCCTTGTTATGAGCCAGAGCCAGAGTGGTCGCCATGAGCTCCCTGACCCGACGTTCCTGTGGGGGCAGGGGGAGCAGGACCCAGGGTGCCGAAGAGCCTGCTCAGGGCTCTTCCCTGCAGCCCCAAGTGTGGGGACAGGTTTGAAAGGGCAGAGGCCAGTTTGGAGTGGTCCATGACCCAGTCTCCAGGGCTGGACGCTGCGCACAGAAGGCTCTGGCCCCAAGCAGGCAGAGCTGGGCAGGGGTGTTCACCCGGCCTTGGGCTTCGCAAACCCACAGGGCACTGCATCAGGAAGCCACGCAGCTTCCTGTGCAACTCACTGCTGCTGGAGCCCCAGAAGTAGGGCAAGTGTGGTCACGCGC